TAGTATATGTCCGTGTTAAAACACACGAAAGGACTCTAAAGCACACTTCACTCTGATTGGGCAGAAAAACACAAAGATTTTCTGGCACCAATCAGATGGCAGAACGACTGCGACCGTTTGGAACTAGTCTTGTAAGACAATGTCCCCAGGGGCTCTTCATGCCCTAACTTGAAATCTTCTCAGCCCCTGGGTCTCCGAGGATGACTAAAACCATGACTCCAACCCTGACTCCAATCATTTTTGAGTTTCAGTAGGAGTTTGAATGTCACTCCTGCCATCACTTCCTGTTAACTTTTGAGTGAATCTGCTGACCAGTGCATACATGTAAGAGTTTCATAGCTGCAGTTTGTGGGTGTGTGATTTTTTTTTCTTAAATTAAAGCTCTCACTGGTCAACTAGTTCAATAGAAGTTCAAAAGTGGGCGGCAAACAATCAAAGCAATTCAGTGTTGGGTTTGTGCCTTAACTTCCCATTTTGCATTGCACCACTAGAAAGAACTCAAAATGCTCTTCACTTTCACACAAGTATGCATGCAAGTTGAGGAGAAAATAATTTTGCAGCACTAAAATCAGTGACCAATAGGCCATTTCCGAATTACGTTGGCCTCTTTTTCAAAACAAGGCCTGATGCTCAACCATACATATGAAAATCAGTTTAATTTGCATGGGAATGAAAACTTATTACCATACGAAAGGATGAGCACCAGGACTCGCTTTGAAAAAGAGGCTAAAGGCAATTTGGAAATGGGCTATTGATTCAAATGAACTCAGATCAGTCTCCTGCCTCATTCTTTCAAAATACATTTTCTGAGTTGAGTGCCTCACAGACACTTTGATTTGTTTCCCTTGGGGGTTTGAGTTGGCAGGGTTCTACTGTATTCACAGCCATTGACAGCTGGAAAAAGATAAGGATAATAAGGTGTCCTTCAAGATAAGGTGTGCATTTTTACGATGTTTTGGTGTTTAACAATAAAAGTTAGTTTTTATGAATGGGGGTACAAGGTAATTGCAGGTACTAATTGTGGTATCTACAGAATATAAACAACCTTAATCTAAGTTTCTCTCACTAAGAGCTGCTCAGAACTTCAACTTTGTTTAAAATCATCCTCCACAAGGTGATCATCGGTGTCCTAAGTTAAGTCATCATTGCAGAAGTGAGAACTTCATAATTTACAAGAGTTGAGTTGGTAGGAAAGTAATAGAGGAAATTTAAGAAGGAAACAAAGACAACCTAATGGAACCCGTGTTGTCACTCACTTTTATCACCACTTATTTCGTCACTCTCCATCATTTTTAATACCTTGGATTGTTGATGTTCAACTGCATAAAAAGGTAATATAAAAATTTCAAATTAAGAAAGCATTCTGCTTTAAACATTCCATTGTTGAAGGCTGGCAACATGGGTGGGCAAGATGAAGCAAATACTGTATTCTGATAGACTAAATAAGTAGGAAAAGAGGGGTTTATCTTGTGTGTCCATACTACCTGATCACTTGATGAATAGTTTTTGGCTGTTGTTATTAGTCATTTAAACTTAATGAGTACACCTTTAAAGTAGACTAACTGTATGCAACATAACCATACACTGTAACTGTACTAGAGGATCACACCATCTGCTTAATGTGGCATTTTTTCATAACCAAAGAAGTCAACTCTCATTTCCCACACCTAACAAACTTTTTCTATAAAAAAAGAGATGATCTGAAACTGGATCTATTCTCTTGAAGAACAGTTTTCTCTTACTTTCAGAGTGTTAGGCTAGAAAAGATATATAACCTTAATAATGAGAAGATACTGAATACACTTATACAGTAAGTGTAAAAATACATTGTTAATGTACTAAGAACTCACCCTCTCAGTCAATTTTTCTACAGATGAAAGAGTCGAAACCTTAATTTCCAAGACACCTGTCTAAACCACAGTGACTCATTCATCCACTTAAATGGTTTAATGCCACAGAAAATTTGGGGTAATGATAACCAACAACTCTTACTGACTTCTGCTCAGAGGTAAAACTGTTTTGTAATCACCCTGAAGGTTTCATAAGGTGTCCTAAGTTAAGTCATCACTGCAGGAGTAAGAGTGAAATGGATACCATAGCATGCAGAAACATAATTATTAGACCAGCATCACCTACAGTGCTACTCACATTTACATTAATTAACCAAAAACCCTATCGGGCAACAACCTCACTGCACCTTTTAAAAACCCTTAACTCTATACTTTAACCCACTCCCACCCGTGCCCTGGGGCCCGTTTCTCAAAAGTCCCGGTAAATTAACCGGCCCGTAAAGCTGTTCTGTTTTCATTCAAAATGGGGATTTCAAAAATTTTGAAAATGATACAGTAAAGCTATCAGTTAAAGAAACAAAAAGGACTGGTTTTGGTGCTAGAAATTGCTTTCCTATTCATTAAATATTGATTTTAAAACATGGCTTCGGACCCGTTAAGTTACCAAGACTTTCAAGAAACTGGCCTCTGACCACTAAATTCTATGTGCATCTATTGGTATGGTTAAAGGCATCTCAAAGATCAAAGGTGAAAAAATGAAATGAATCAAAATCAGACAATCCAAACTCTGAGAAACATGACCTTCTGCAACCTGAAATAAACTTTTTGTGTTTCTTCAGTTACCCACTGTTCAACAGAATTTTGCTGAAAAAAACTCATCCATATAATGATTCTTCAGCTCCACCTTACATGTATGTTAATTCAATGTGCTATATGGTCATTGCCATGATGGTTTGGTTCTACAGTTATGAACATAAGTAAATAATGTCTGAGGAGCTACAGTTCAGAAACTCACCTCTAAATTCTTTCTCTTCACTTCTTTTTCTTTTCTGCTTATTTTCAATATTAACAAGTTTATCTGATTCTTCTGCATTCCCATGTATGTCCTTTCTGTGTTTCTTTACCTTTGACTTCTGCTCACTTTCACAAGAGTCAATGTCTTTTGATTTTTCTCTTTCCTTGTGTTTTTTAGTCTTTTCATCTTTCTTTCCTTTTAAGTTTTGTTTGTTACTGTTATCAACTTCATGATTTGTTTCTTTTACCATGTGTTTTGTAGAAATTCCATTACATTCATCTTCTGCATTATTTTGACAAGATGATCCATTGCTTTTTTCATGATCGACTACACCATTGCTGCTAGTTATGTCCTGTTGTTGCGACTTCTGGTGACACAAAAATGATTGACTTAGATGGTGCACATATGCACTTACAGCTGTATCTTCAAGCTACAATGACTCTGAATGCTTTCGCCCACATACATCTAAACACACTTTCATAAAAGTATTCAAAACAAATAGTCTTGAACGATGTTGCACAACTACTGAATCTCATTTTAGCTCCTTTTTCTGAATGTCACAGGACGCAGACATACACAGTCAGAAAACAACCTCTACACTGTACATGTATATTCATGAATAACATGTATATTCTTGAATAACATGTGAAGAATGTAACCAAGAGGCAACCAAGTATTAATACTCCTCCTTGTTGGGTAGTCCAAGCGTGGGTTATCCCTCCACATTGTGACAAGATTCCCTGAAAGCTTGCCTACACCTTTTATATGCACAGTCAAAGAAAGGTGCTGTGAGAGTTAACTCTTTCACTCCAAATATGTCATTAGTAATTCTCCTTACTGTCTGCCACATAGTTCTTATGTTTTTTTTGTTTTTTTTTTTGGAGAATTTGGTACTAGATGAACTAATAATTCCCTAATTTATATTTTCCTTATTCTCTATACTTGTAGACTTAACCCATTGACACTTACGTGTAACACGCGCCGACAAAAAGTCAAAATTTTGGAGAAACCAAGGAGGCAAACACAATGTGCAGTAAATTTTTAAAAATCGGTTTTTTCAAGAAACAAACTCCAGTGAAAGAGGACTAATTAAAGAACTTATTTCCGGCGAAAAAAGCGATAGGTGCATATTAGGTTTTAACTCAAAAATCAAGATGAAAGATAAAAATCGCTAAATATTTTTGCATGTGTGAAAATGGGCATGTGGATCATATTTCAAAAGGGAATATGCAAATTTGTCCGTGAGTGAAGAGATCTCAAGTTCCATGGAATCTATCAATAGGAAGCAAGACTAAAATGGCCAAGAAATATTTCGGGACGTCAGATTTATTCAAAACAGTTTTTGATTTGCTGTTATAAGCGAAAAACATATGAATTTCTTACGTGTACAAAGCCCATGCGGTAAAATTCATCATGCTTAGATCGTTGTTTACTTGCCTTCATGGCCAGAAATTGCGCAGTGTTATGTTGAAAATTCTGAAAAAACTTCGACTTGAGGCAAAATCTTCTATGAAACTATACTTTTTGAACACATTGTTACTCGAACATAATATTTACTGGGCCATCGAATCGTCAAATTGTCGCCAGGCCCTGCTTGAAGTCCGAAAATTCGGTTTTCACTTTACGTCCATAATTCGCATCGCCTTAGAGAATAGTAGTGTCATTGACTCGAGAGCTTATTCTGTCACTTTTAAGACCTGGATATCCATTCTTTTCCAAGCAGAGTATTCTATAGCATTGTTACTTTACATTCTGAATTCCACAAGGTCTAACTCGATCGCAAATGAATGAAAAATCCGACCTGAAAATTTTGAGGGTCAGCTGCGCGGACGCCATATTTTCAAATTCGATCATTTAGTGAAGACGCATAGAATAATGCCCCTCTAGTACCCCCTAAAGCCGACAAAATATATGCACAAACGACGGATTCTGATTGGCTTATTGATCTCCAAACTACAGAGGAAGTTTGGGAACAAAACTCCACTTAGTAGGGGAGGTAGGGGGAAAGTGTTCTCGCACAAGGCGATCGCAAGGTTCGGGTGGTTACAGACGGTTCAGGTGTCAATGTGTTAATATTGTATGGAGAAATTCTGTCTTGGTCACTCACAGGGGTTAAAGGGTTAAGATCCCTGCCAAGCACAGAACACAATAACCCTTGCTTTGGCTCAAACTTAGACTCCACTACACCTTCTATTACCTCAATTTAAAGTACAGAACACAATTAATAACCCTTGCCTAGGCTCAAACTCAGACTCTACTACACCTTCTATTACCTTCATTTAAAGTAAAGAATTCACCTATCATTGTGACTGCAAAATAGAATTACAATGTAAAATATTGTGAAATTTCACAATATTTTATCCTGACCTTTGCACTATCCGAGAAAAGGTCCCACAGCTTGTCCAAAGTTGCATCATCTTGCACACCAATGCTATTCTTGCAGAAATTCTGACAACACCATAAAAAACATTCAATGAGACTAAAACTGAAGTACAGCTTAATCATCATTTTAGAAAAAATTATTTGTTAAGAGTCTTAAGCCGAGTCATCACCACAGGGACAAACTTAAGAAAAAAAGAGGGAGAGAAAGAGAAACAATTTCAAGTAATGTTCAGGCTTTTCCCCTATCACCTTATAAAATAAGCATATTTACCATGCTTTTATTGTACATGCTCCTTTGAACTTGATGCATGTAAAGTGTTAAAGCTGTATTTAAACCCTGAACTTCCCTCCGAACTAAATTCTTATTTATAATCATATTTACGATGTGTAAAAACCCAACAAAAATGTCCCTCCAATGAAGGAGTTTACTGGACAAAACCTATATTTGACTGGACATTGTTCACTGACCAGCTGTTATTTCGAGCCCTGTAAGGATAAGCTACATGAACCCTGTATTGAAAACGTACCTTACCTGATAAGTCTAACATTTTATGCAACCACTGCTTTAAAGTTTATCATAAAAAACACTGTATATGAATATCTCACTTACTTGGAATTTAGCTTTCTTTCTTGGAATATTGGAATATTCACTAATTCTATCCAAAAGGTGGGACAAACGCGGATCCACTTTTTCGGATCTTGATGCCTCTCTCACTTGCTGATACAAAAGATAGAAAAAGACATTTTCTTTTGACCCAAAAATGTTTTATAATCAAACTTATACTTGGAAATATTCACCAAAGGAAACATAATTTATAGGGTTAAATTTGGGAATTCAAGTGCATCACTTTCCCAAAAGAGTGTGATAAAACAGAAAAACGTTCATCACTCCTCTGGATGTGAAAAAAAAAAATCCGTTGTAAAACCAAATTATTGATCTAAAGATTATTTCCCTGTTCAGATACAATAACTTTTGTGAAATCATCCTATTTGAGGTGATCATAGGTGTCCTAAGTTAAGTCATCACCACAGGGATTGTCTTAGTACTGCAAACTGCAGCTCTACACCTTACAAAAAGTATTTGAACATTTTACATTCTAGTTCTTATAATAAAAATAATAGGCTCTATCAGTTCATTCAGTTTTTTTTTATCAGGTAGAGGTAGTTATCTTGATCTAACATCAAATTCTCGTAACTAATTTACAAGCAAATGTGTTATAGCATGACGGCAGAGTTAAGATGTGTACTACCTAAAAGTCAAATATGGGGCGTTAAGGGGTTAAAGATCCACATTAAACTGCTTACTTCAATGCTCGTGTATAAGCTAAGTCTGATCATGGGCGACTAAGCTTCCACTAGCCGATGTCGCCGTTCGAATTGAAAACTGAAAATGTGAAAACTGTTATACTTTTCAATCACCTTAAGCCATTCTTGCTGCTTGTGTTCGCCTTTATTCTGTTTATCCTTTGGTTTGTAGAGTTTTCCTTGATACTTTTCTGCTTCAGATATACACGATGTATGGGAAGCGTACTCATCACCGTGAAAGTCCCTTCCGCAATCGATGCACGACAGAACTTCGCAATTACGGCAGTCGTTCTGATAGTGTCTTTCAACCTGAGCTTTCCGAACTGTTTGACCACATACATTACAGATAAAAGAAACCATTCTTTCGAAGAATTCTAATGCAACTTTTAGTCACTTTCAGCTTTCCACGTGGAGTTACACTGCTCATGCGTCGTGATAGTTGGTCTCAAATTATATCAGTTACACCACATATTTCGATCATTAGAATCCGCTGTATATCTGCGGGCTTCAAGGACTTTCTCGTAAACTCAGGAAGAATCGTGAGGATTTTCCTCTGTGCTTGTCGAGCTAAATCTCTACCATTCCATGGGAGAATAGGACAATTGTCTAAAGAAGTCGATCTTAGTCTTTTCACTGCTTAGAAACCGGTTGAACTAGTGCTATATCTGCAACAGAAATGTGTTCAGCGACTGTTGTCGGACGCAACTTCTTGGACCAGTTGATACTGGTTTATATCACTGATTTATGAGTTTCAACCCGAATTAAACTAAATGTGGTCTTCAAATGGCTGTTGTACCTCGTGGAGTTCTTATTGGAATGTTTTTCTATCTAACATTCGCGATTGCAGGGACAATTTGGATATCCATGAAATACTTGAACGAAAATGGCTGTGATTGTCGTCAATATTTCGAGAGCGCGAAGTTGTCTGGTGGTCTGCGAGCTGCACATGAACACGACTTTCCACACTCAGACGACAATATTAAAATAGTTGCTGACAAACAAAAAAGGGCCAACGGAGATTTCCTACAAACTTTTGGGATAGGTACGCATGACTACTTGCAAACTTGATTATTTCGCTCGTCAGTGGACGTAAACATCTCGTTTGCGCCCTTGCTGACGTGTCGGCATTCATTTGTTTGTTTAACGCCCTGTTTCTTACTATTAATTAGACAGTCTATTTCTTCATATTAAATAGAAAATAATTTTACAAAGGAAAGTAATTAGAAATTACGTATACTGATTTAAATTAATAGTGGTGTATAAATAGCCTTGAACCAAATTTCCCTGTGCTTGGGTAGTTAGCAGTATGAGTGATTTATCAGCTCATTAATTTGAGTTTAGTCATTTTCTCCAGACATTGGAAAGTATAAACACTTTGCTCTCCATGCTCCGATATGTGGCCTTTGCCAGTCAGTTAGGAAGATATTTCATCTTCCCACAACTCACGTCACTTCAAGTGATTTCAGTGGTTTTGAGCTCATAGGTTTAACGTCATAAAAGCAGGAGATAGGGAAGGTGAAGTTAAAGTCTCTCTCAAAGAACAAGAAACAAAAAAAAAGTGATGAGCAAGACTTCATTTTATTCCAGTAAAGCTAGTTGTGTAATTGCAAGGAATGTAAAAAAGTGTAATTTGGGGCTTTACTTTTCCTTTAAAAAGAGAAGAAGAATTAACAGGTTTGTTCTCCATTGTGGTCAGAGTTTAATGCCTCCACCAGTATACTCTTACTTAACTTTCCTTGATTGCTTCCCCCCTTTCCATTAGATTTCCTCATTTAATAATGTTTCCCTTTGTTAATTTTCAATGTGGGAGTGGAGAAACATTTGTAATTTTACATAATGTTATTCTTAATTATTCTTTCTTATTCTCCTTTCTTCTTAACTAAACTGTAGTTCAATTCTCCCACATAAGCCATGCCTACACCTTTGCATTCTAAAGCCTTTTTGGCACTAGAGGGTGATCTCTATATCTTGAATCCATTTTCAAACTACAGTGTAGTATTCCTTAAATATGTTTTGTTTCATTTTGTCAGCAAGTATCCCTCCCTTTTTTCTAACAAATCTTGTTAAACACATCATTTGAACAGTACTTCCAGTTGGTATTATTTTAACTAGTAAAGAAAGAATTTTTCCTAATTTTTATTCATTTCAGTCATTCATTCTCATTGTTTGTTATCTGAGAGCTTAAGTTTCTGAAGGTCAGCCTTATGTAGCCTTCCATAGAGATTTTAGGAATGGGGTTTTATCCATCTTGGATCTTACTTCAATTTACAACTTTTTTTTGTTCAACTACTGTCCATCTGTACTCACTTAGCCAGTGTTGGATGGGGCTGGCATGAATTGGGTATATAGGCGAAGAGGGTAAAGGGTGTCCTGTACATGTATCATGCAATAACCACCTTCCCTCTCTCTTAGGTGGGACCTGTTTACCATCTTCCCTGTAGTAGCATCCAAGTTGCCTTACTTCGAGAAACTTCACAAGTAATTGTCTGAAAAAGCTAATGTCTTCATGGTTGAAAATTTCATTTTAGAAAGTGCAGTTAGAGAGGGGAGACTTCCTGAAGAGGATTGGGGACCACACCAACTTGGTCTGGTTGTACCTTACAGAGACAGATTTGAGGAGCTGCTTGAATTTGTTCCACACATGCACAAGTATTTGAATGACAAGAAAGTCAGACACAAAATATTTATTGTTAACCAAGTTGATAAGCATAGGTAAGAGATATTGTAGTTGTCCATACATACATGTATGATAATTTTTTAGTTTTTGTGCCCACTGTGCCTTCCTTTTAGGAACCCTGGAGGCATTGTGTTATGGTGATATGTAAGTTTATGGAACTTCTCCTTACGGTTGTCAAAATGGCAGACCATCGTGAGACACTTGTAACATCTCTTTTGACTCATCCTGGTTTAGTTCTGACACTGGTCATTGTTGAACAAATCTGATTGGGTTTCTTCTGATTCATTTTTGTTTTTTTCGAGTTTAGTTAAAATTTTTTTTCAGGGACTCACCTCTGCATTTCAACATAGTTACTGATTTAAATGCAATCTGAGCTGACATGTGTTGCAATACTCTGCAACTATATAACAGTAGAGACACGCAGTCACAGACAGCCTTTTCATTATAATAAGTTTATTCAATCAAAGAAAGCTGTGCTTATCATGCTGTGCTTATCATGCTGTGCTTATCATGCTGTGCATAGCAGGATTGCTCCTCTGGTTTGCATGACTGTCTCAAATTCTCTCACAACCTCTCATATTTAGATAAGTATTACATAAAAATGGAGAAATTTTTTTTTTCTCAAAATATAAAAGAAACTGTATGGCTTAGTTCACCAGCTTTTTAGCCAAGTGCTAGAAGGTGAAACTAAGATATCTGAAGATTAAATCCTACACTTGTGTTGAGTGAATAAAAGGTACACATTTCTCTAACTTATTGGCTGAATATATTAATCATTACGTTTGATGCATGGCCTCATTTATGTTCTTTTTCTCACAGATTCAATAGAGCTTCCCTTTTAAATGCAGGATTCTTGGAGGCAAGAGGGAATAATTGTGACTATATAGCTATGCATGATGTGGATCTCCTACCTCTGAACAAGGACTTGTATTATGGATTTCCTGATAAAGGGCCTTTCCATGTATCAGCACCTTTTCTACATCCAAAATATCACTATCCAACATTTGTAGGTGGAATTTTGATAATGTCAATTGCCCAGTTTGAAAAGGTAAGTGCAATTTGGTACACAGGTAAAGAAAATTTACTATATGTAGGAATAAAAGATTGCATAATAGTACACTAACTGTGGAATCAAATATTTATGCACTTAAGAAATTGAGCAATCGTGAACATGTTTAGAAAAAGAATCTTTGAGTCCCTTTGTGTGTATGTCAGAATTTTGTTTTGGCTCTTGCCAGTGGCTGATGTTATTCAACATCTATCGTCATTAATTTTAACCCTATGATCCCTAAGATTGACCAACATCTAATTTCTCCTTACATTTCACCCCTAAATCACACATTGAAGGTCAAGAGAATAATGGAAATGATAACCAACTAAAGAAGCTCTTGATTGTTGAACAAATTCTCCTTGTCAGCACCTTAGGAAATAAATACAAAGCAGTATGGAGAATATGCATACTGATTTTAAGGTGTAAAGGGATAATCTACCTCTGGCCATTTTTAATGCCAAATTCTAGGGTAAAGGCTTGAAATGATTTTTCCTTTAACATAATGTCCCCATCCCATGTTATCGTGTCTAATTTGTATCTGCCCGCTCAAATATTTTAAGAATGTAGCACGTGAATTCCAGCAATGCAAGTTCCAGCAAGTTCACGTGCACGTGACTTTTTTCGTTTCTTTTTTTTTTTTTTTTATGAATAAGTACTTTGAAACTCTAGTTTTTTTTTCTTGAACTTAGTATCTAAGTTAGTTTGTAAAGTTCGCAAAGGGTTTTCTGCAAAGATTCCGAGAATTTCGAAGCGACGTGGAGCAACATAGGTACAGGGGCTGATTTACGACGCTGTGGAACTCTGAAGAAAAAAAGGAATTAAACGTGGAGTTTACACATGTAGTACAATTGTAGAGAACATCTGTGGTAGCTTAGTATTGACTAGGCAGAGAAAGAGTCGAAGTAAATGAATTGGGAGCAAATATTGCCATCTCACAATGTCTTATTGAGTTACTGAAGTGCAGCTAATCTCGGTAATTCAAATCATTAAATGTTACATTTACTATAGATTTTTGTTTATAATAAATACTAATTGCAGTGAAGGAATACTAAATAAATTAATCTCTCAGTTTGCTTTTGTATGAGGGCATAATTTGGAGTCAACTTTAATTTTTTTGCTGCTGAATATTCAGTTGAAACTGCCCTCAGTTAAAATAGATCAGTCCTCACACGTTGCTGGTTTTTTCATTTATTTCTAGGTTAATGGACTCTCTAACAAATTTTGGGGCTGGGGTCGGGAAGATGACGAGCTGTATCAGCGAATGAAAGAAGCTGGCTTGACTGTAAGTCACAACAACGTTTTGATCCAACTACATCGAAACCTTTGTTAAGCCTTTAACCCCTGAACAGCTTCTAATTTTTCCTTATAGCATCGCCCTTGAATCAAACATTTAACTTATGAGAATAAAGGAAATGGTCACCGTCTGTACAAACTCTTCATTATTAAAAAGGCCTGTGATTAAAATTAAATTAATTATTAAAGGCCTGTGATGCGCCTCCCATTTACTAGATTTACCTCTCTACAACGGCGCGTGCAACAGCGACTGACAACAAGTGTAGCAAAATGTGTGTCAACTCTCTTGAACCAACAATCCTTGACCAATATTTTTTCCTCAAAGGAGAACATACACATATGTGCGTATGAAATGCATTCAAAGTTAAAAGAAGACGTTCTGTGTACTGATGTACCCACTGAACAGTACCTGCTTTTTGTTTTGTTTTTTTTGTTTTTCGTTTTTTTTTTGGTTTGTTTTTGTCGTCATTTCCTAACTTTTGGGTTATGTAGCTATTGGTTTAAAAAAAAACACACACACACAATGGGGGTCATATTACACCCCTATCTCCCTCATACACCCCTCCCCC